GCTCCTCCGCCTCCGCGCAGACGCCGCCGCCGCCGCTCGGCTCTTCTCAATGGAACCTGCGGGCAGCGCGCGGCGAACCGGGCGGCCTCGGCCCGGGCGCTCGGGGCGTGCGGGCGGGGCGTCCGCGTCACGGCGCCGCGCCTCCGGACCCGCCCCCACCGCTGGCCCCGCCCCCAGCGCCGCGGCCTCGCCCCGCCTGCACAGAGTTGGCCCGCCCCCGGGCGGATCTTGTTACCTCGCGGCCCCGGCCCCGCCCCGCCCCGCCGCCCTGGCCCGCCCCTGGACTGGCCCTGTTTCCTCGCCGCAATGGCCCCGCCCCGCCTTCTGGCCCCGCCCCCAGAGAGCTGAACCCGCCCCCGGCCCTGGGTAGACCTGTGGCCTCCTCGACTACTCCTTCGGCCCTGCCGCTTTGTCCCCAGACCCGGCTCAGACTCGGCGACCCAAGGCATCCCGCCGCCCCGCGTCCGGCCGGGTTCCAGACCTCCCTGGACCCGCCTCCTCGGCGCAGCTGCAGCTCCGCCCCCCAGCCTGACCTGACCTGGTTCGGTTCCTGGACACCGAAGCCCCGCCCAGACCACGCCCCCAAACCATGGCTCCGACCTCCACCGCCCATGACTCCGCCCCCCGCTCTGTAACTCCGCCTCCAGGGCCTCGGTCCCGCCCAGAACCTCTGGGCTCTGCGACCACCCTCCTCGGCCCGCGGGATGGGGGACGGTGAGGGCCGGGTCAGGAAGCCCGAGGCCTTGACGCTCCACATTGCCTTGGACCAGATTTGGGGTTTGGAGCCGGCTCTGACAGGGTGGGGCTTCTGCCCAAGGCTGTGGTGGAAGAGCGGCATCCCTGGGGTTCGCTACCTCCGGTGGCTGCAGCCCCAAGTGGAGAGTGGGGGACTTCGGGTCCCCCTCCCTTGGGCTCAGATATGGCTGGAGATCGGGGGCGGGGGTGGTGTGGAAACCAGCGGCCTGTGCCTGCTCCCCCCGCAGCTGCCCCCAGGCGTTGACCCTCTGGGCCTCTCCTCCCCCGGCCGTGCCTCTAAAGGGCGCCCCTGCTGGAGGCCCAGGAAGAAGACCCTTCGCGGGCTGAGAGAACCCCTAAGCCCCCTCCCCGCCTGGAACAGTCAGAAGGGAGCGAGGTCAGTACTGCCTGTTCCAGCCATGGAAACGGAGACCGAGCCTTCTGTTCTTTGGGATATGTTCATGGGATCCCAGAGGCCCCCCATTTTCCAGGGAGGCTCAAAGTCATACACCATTAGAGTTGCCCCTGGGGGCTCAAGTGTATTCTTTTAACATTCTTGGCCTGCATTTGGTGCCTACCCCCACCCCCCATATTCACAAGAAATAGGAAGTTAGCAGGGCCCAGGGGCTAATGGGAAGACCTTTGCAAACAGGACACCTGGATGCCTGTCCAGAAAGCTGGGCCCACCCATCTGATGGCATCAGATAATCATCACAACTGTCACATATGGAGGCTGGCTAGGTACTGAGTACTCTGCCCGTGAGACCCCCCCTCATTCTGACTCCTGTTACCTTTGCCCCTGCCCCACGGAAGAGGAAAAGGTTGCCCTCAGAACCTGGGCACTCTCCCCTGCCCTACCGCTGCTCCCAGGAGGGCAGGAGATTGGCAGGCAGGGCAGAAGGTTGAGGTCTACCCCAGGACCTGCCACTGCCAGTGGACAGAGAAGAACACTAAGGCCGGGAGGCCAAGAGACCTGTCCGGGGTCACGTGCTCACCAGCTCTTCCCACTCCAGGGCCAAGGGGTACAGCCTTCCTAGAGTTACCCGGTGCTGCACCCCTCCCCTGGGGAGCATGGGGCCCATGGATGGCTGGTTCACTCGGCCCAGGGCTCCCACATGTTTATCAACTGGACAAGGGGCCCCACCTGTCTGGGTTTCTCATTGGGCCTGCTGCCTTCCCCAAAGGGGGCCTCTTTACAGGATGGGAACCTCAGTCAGGCAGTCAGGGGGATTCCTGGAGGAGGTGGCCGCGGGCTGGAGCTGTGCTGGGTTTGAGGCTCCATGCATAGCAAGTGACGCCCAGGTTGGTGCTGCTGGAATGCCTGGAGGTCTGTGTCGAGGAGGGTTCTGAGGGTCAGCAGGTGGAGGAGAATCACGATCAATTAGTGATGTCTGTCTAGGGTGCAGGAGGAAAAGAGTGGCAGGACTTTGGCCACTTCAGGTTCTGAGAGGAGAGACAACCCCAGTTGCCCAGGGACTTAGAGGCAGAGGCAGGTCCTGCTGACCAGGATCCACTAAATCATTCTCAGGGCTCAGTGAAAAATGAACACGTGGGGCCCCTTGTTCGAAAATTAAGAATTTCCAAGCAGCAACAGAAGAGCCTTAAGCCAAGTGCAGGGCTCTGTGCACCTGCGCGGGTCAAGTGCCCATCAAACGCCATGACAGGGGACTTCCCAGGTGGTGCAGTGGTTAAGAATCCGCCTGCAAACGCAGGGGACACGAGTTCGAGCCCTGGTCTGGGAAGATCCCACATGCTGCGGAGCAACTAAGCCCGTGCGCCACAACTCCTGAGCCCGTGAGCCGCAACTACTGAAGCCTGCGCGCCTAGAGCCCATGCTCCACAACAAGAGAAGCCACTGCAATGAGAAGCCCGCGCAACGCGACGAAGAGTAGCCCCCGCTCTCCGCAACCAGAGAAGCCCTGCGCGCAGCAACGGAGACCCAACGCACCCAAAATTAAAAATAAATAAATTTATAAAAAACAAACAAACAAAAAACCCCGCCATGACAGCCCTGACCCAGGCCCGTGATGTTTCTGGGGCACTTGGCTTCCATGCTTTGCCCCCTCTGTCTGCCCTGCACGGGGATATTATTATCGCCACCGTACAGATGAGGAAACTCCAGCTTGCTTGTGACCGATGGCGGTGTCACAGGACCTCGCTCACACAGGCCACTATACCCTCAGGGGAGGTCTGTTGATACGGACGATAAACTGAGGAAAGAGGAGCAAGAAATGCTGTGGAAAGGCAGGCCCGGCTCAGCCCAGAGCAGGAGCGACCGCCTCTGCCTGGGGAAATCAAGGAAGGCTAACTGGAGGAGGTGCCATCTCTGTGGAGTTTTGCAGAGATCCCTGCTCAGATGGGAGAGGGTTCCATCTGGCCACCTGCATCCCCTGTGGGAGTGCCAAGATTCACATCCAAACGTCACTGGTGGAGAAAACAGAACTGCATTCAGTCCACTTGGGGGTTGGCAACACCCACTATGGAGCTGAGAAGGGCTTGGCGTGGAGCTGGGCTGCCCTGACCACGGCCTGGATGTTTCCTGCTTTGCTGGATTTCAAGGTCTAATAGTCTGGAGGCCTCTCGGGAAGGCTCCAAGGTTGTCTGGGCCTAGGGAAGTCTCCTGGGGATGGCTCTAGGGGCGATGTCATTGTCGGCATCACCAGTCTTTTCCGAGCCCTTCTTCTGGGCTGGTTCACGGTCTCTCGTGATGTCCTTGACCACCTCTGGTGGTCACCCAGGCAGAAGGTGGCAGAGCTGGGCCTAGGACACAGCTTCCAAGGCTGTCGCGGTGGTGATGAAGATGCTGAGGTTCAGAGTGGCCCTGCAGCTCAGAAGTGGTGACCCCAGGCAGTCGCACTCCAGAGCCCGGGTTCTTAACCCTGGCTGTGCCCCAGGAGAACTGGGTTTGAACCCTGGCTCTGCCACATTGGAGGCTGCGACCCTGAGCAAGTCCTGAAGCAGTGAGGTCCTTGGCTTCCTCATTTGCCAGTGGGGGTGGGGGGCATGACCCTCAGGGCTCCCCTAGCCTTGGTGCCACAGTGGCTCTGGGCTCACGTCTGCTCCACCGCTGCCCTCTGCCCTGTGGGGTGGCAACCGTGGGCCTGGCTCTGCTGACGGGCATGCTCCCTGCTGCCCCGACCCAGTAGGACTACCCGGGGCCGGGCAGTGGCTGCCGGTGGGGAGGGGGCTGACTGTGGCGCCTCCCACATCCCAGCTTCTGCACTGGTTGCTAGGTGATGACCAAGCGAACCACAGAATGTTCTAGACACTTAAGCTGGACACCGAATGATGAAGACTGTTCAGGAGAGAGTGGTGGCAGAAGGGCGTTCTCAGCTGAGGGAAAGGCTGGGAGGGCTGGACAGACCGTGGGGAGCGCGTCCCAAGCCCAGGTCAGGTGAGGGGCCTCTGATGGCCAGGCCACACCGTGAGCCCTCTTTCTGCTTCACTATGCCCCCAGTGTCCCTGACTTCACCTCCGTATAGCTCTGAGAGGCCCTGTGGGGACACTGTTGTCAGCCCAACCCCCGCTCCAAGCTTCCCTTACCTACCACCCTGACCACTACCGGATCCCCACAGCCACTCCTGGCCCCACTACAGGCTGAAGCCAGCCGGGCCTTCCGTTAAGCGAATGATAACCTCAGGCCCTGCCCTGCCCTTACCTTCTCCTCTGACCCTCCCTGAATGTGGGTCCCGGTGGCCTGTGGCCACAGGGCCCTTGCACAAGCTGTCCCTGCTACCCGGTGCACCCTTCCCTCCCACTGCCTGGCCCCCCACCCTTCCTCAGGGAGCTCCTGACTGCTCCTCTCTGGTCCAGCTTGCAGGGCCCAGGTGCCTTTTCTGTGGTACTCAGCACGCTGTTA